ACCACCACTACTACTACTACTACTACTACTACGGCTACAACAACAACTACTTCTACTACTACTGCTACTACTGCTACTACTGCTACTACTGCTGCTACTGCTACTACTGCTACTACTGCCACTGCCACTGCTACTGCTACTGCCACTGCCACGGCTACTGCTGCTGCTGCTGCTACTACTACTACTAGTACTACTAGTACTACTACTACTACTACTACTACTACTACTACTACTACTGCCACTACTAAATGCTTTAAACAAGAGACAGCCGGCGCGACAAGACAGTTGCCGTGTGTTGAGTTGTCAGAGAGTATCGACACCTCCCACCAAAACTGGCTACGACCTCGACGACACGCGCGATGACTAGTAATGTAATTAGGAGTCGGAATAGCTACAAGGTTGCTCTATAGGCATATGAGATACGAAACAAATTTGGACTCTCTGGGGGGTATTGCTTCTGGCAACTCAAACCCCTTACGGGGGCATCTGATACGATAACTTTGGAAGCTTAGGGAATGGACATGAATAGACTTAGAGTTAATTCCGACCCCTATATAGTACTCCTTCTGCTGCTGCTGCTGACGGCCACGAGATGCGAGGAGGCACAAGAGTTGAGAGTTTACATATCGCCCAGGGTTTACGGGCTATCTGCCGGTTTCCGGAAGCAATGATTCAGACATTCCCATGTATTGCACGGTCAAAGGGATACCTCGCACTTCCGCACGCCACGATTGTCGTCGTGCAAACAGTAGGAAGACCATCACAAGTGCTCCAAGGGTGTAGTGCTTAGGGTTTGAACCAAAATCCCAACCTAAAGATCCTGGAAAGCCCGTCAAAAGACTTGAGTGAAGGAGCTGCCCTGAGTCAGCAAGTCCAAAACATCGACACTCCAGTCGATGAGGATCAAGGTGAAGTCAAAGAGCCTTGGCACTCGGTCAATTAGGGTTTTAGGGTTTAGGGTTTATTTGATTCAGAAAGCCCAGGCCCGAAATCCCTAAAACCGAATCCTACATACGGATTGCAGCGTATCTGACAGTAAACCACAACCCTAAACCTTTCGGGCTTTAAAGCTGGTGGAACGATTGTAGGGCCTAAGCTAGATATATTTCGGGGATTCCGGGACATGCTTTAGTCTCTATGTTAACCAACAGAAGAAAGAATCCGAGCATATCCGAACCGAAAAAAGAGGTTAACAAAAAGAAGGAACTATGGAGACTATACAGGTATTAAGTAGGCTGATCGCATAACTGCCGAGGTGCATCCAGGTCTTCGCATAATGACGGGCAACTTTACAGCGCTCCATGACCAAGAAGCCCTCTCGGTAGTAGCCGGTGAAGAAGGTCAAGACGAAGTCGGAACCTCGGTGTTTGAGCCAGGCTAACCTTTCAAGCCCGGAAGATCCAAGTAGTCCCTGTTTCTAGGGTTTAGGCTTTAGGGTGTTCGATTCAAGAAGGGCTCAAAGTTCTTACATACCCGAAAGCTGAACGAACACTTCTGCTTTTGCCTGGCTCAGAAACTCCAAAACAGCTCCACCACCAGCGACATCGGGTACCTCCTTAGCTGGTTGTCCAGGCCCTGGCAAAGATACTGCGCAGATCCCTTACCCTCCCTGCAGCTAAACCCTAGCCGACGGGCCCTCACTACCCCACGTCGAAGACCCAAACCCGGTGAAACCCTGAACTGCTTGGGGTTTCGGGCTTTGGGGTTTAAGGCTTAAACTGAACCTAAACCCCTAAGCCTCACAAACCCTACTGTAAACCCTACACCCCCTAAAAACCCCAAGCCACAAACACCCCGAAACCCGCAAGCCCTACGCGCCCTAAACCCTAAACCCCTTAGCCCCTCAAGCCTCGCAAACTCCAGTGAAGTTGCGCCAGCCACTCTGGGAGGCTGAAAACCAACCTTCGGGATTAGGGTTTGGGTTTGGAGTTTAGGGTTTTAGGGTTTATATATAGGGCTTGGATCCCCTGGGATCTAGTAGGGGTCCTTCTAACGGTTCCTTCGAGTGTTACTACGCGGGAAAAGGGTTGGGGTTTGGGGGTTGTAGGATTGCTCTGGGCCCTATAATACGTTTCAGGGTTTAGGGTTTTTTTTTCAAGGCTTACTATAAGGGCTCCTTTAAGAGTACTACTACGGGTTTGGGGGTTGAGGGTTGTACCAAAGTGTCCAAAGAAGTAGCTACAAATAGTAGTTAGTAGAATGTAGTGTGTCTATATCAGGATTTCCATTATTACCCTAAGGGTCCAAGTACCTAATAATTATCATATACTCTCCCAAATATTAGCCTAGATAACTACTATCCGCAACCAAAGTACCTTATTGTTTGGACCCTTAGGGTTATCCCACATAGCAGCAAGACCCTTTGGCCCAGAGGTTTTTAGAATTAGGGTTTAGGGTATATGGCCCCTTTGAGGGTTTGGGGTGTAAGGTCCCGATAAGTTTTTAAGGTTTCGGGTGTGGGGTGAAAGCTGCGAAACTATGATAACCAGGATTTAGGCGTCTGATTGCCTGCTTCATGCACAAGAAAACGAAGAGAAGGACTTGGAATTTTGGATTTGCAGGCTTAGGGTGAATGAGGACGTTTGTAGAACAGTTTGAGGCTGGTGTTTCAGGTTCCGAAGGCTTAGGGTTTGTGGCTTTAGAGCTTATAAGGTTTAAGGGTTTAAGGGTTTAGGAGTTTAGGGTTGAACCAGGTCAAGGTTTTGGGTGCGAGTTGCGGTGATTCTAAACTGGAGCGGTCCAAGAAGCAAGGGGGTGACCAGCAAGTCGTACATCACGAAGGCACCCACCATCAGGTTCCAAACAGCTCGGAGGGTGCCACTAGGATGCAGCATGCAGGTGCAGCGCCTAGATCCCCGCAAAGTATTGCTGCCTGAAGTTTAAGGTTTAAGGGTGTAGGGGTTTAGGGTTTAAGGGTTTAGGGTAGTCGTCTTATGTGGTTCTAGGACATCTGCAGCTACTGAGTTACGGTTGGTGTAAGAGTCACTTGACCCATACCGTGCCTATGATGCCAGCGGATGCTCCCCCACGTTCAATGCTGTGCGCGCCAGTCACCTTTCGCTGTGTGGTTCTGACAGATGCACCTTCCTGCCAGCACAAGTGGGTGTGCAGCTGGAAGTTGCCGACGTCACTGTCCGACTCGGATTCCTCCTCTTCGATCCCAGTACGGTGCAGTCGTTTCCTTACTTGCTTAGTTTCAGGGCTCAGGAGCCTCCAAAACCTGGCTTCCCCCAAACCCTAAACCCTAAAACCCTAAACCCGCCCGGGGGGAAGGCTTAGGCACATTAGCCTTTAAGGGGCCTACCGTGCAAAACACCGTCAAAAGTCTTTGTAGTTGAGGCGTACCCATAGGCTCCATAGTAGTTCCTTTTTGGGATTACCTTATAGGATCCCAAATATGAACCACAAAAAGAACTACTCTAGAGCGTATCAGCATATGGGTACTAAGCGTAACACCTTATAGGCCTCGAACAAAGAGCCTGAGCGAATACTTAGAAAAGGGCTGTAGGTGCGGGAGTTAAGGCTTATTACTGCTACTTAAACATCATAAGGAACCCCGATACGTCTGATGATCTAAATCCAGCATTGCCTTAAGGACCCTAAACTATGGGAATTATGGCATATTGCTTATTATTATGGGTAATGCAGGATTTATACCATCAACCGTATTACGAAATACGAAATCTTTCGAGCCCCCACCCAGAATGATAGACTGTTGCGTGAACATACCTCCCAGGCTGGCCCTGTTATAAGTGACGACGGCCCCCTGAAAAAGGGCATTCTTGGTACAATCCCGTGACTTTTAAGGAGTGTTGGAAATGCTAGATGCCCTGAGACCAAGCATCGGGCTCAAATAACCCAAAAACCCTAAATAGTATGGTCACCTGGTCTTTGGGCCCAAAAGCCTTGAAATGTGAGTCCTTACAGCCTCAGGGCAAGCTTCAAGGATTGCAGTAAGTCGGTAGATCTGCCAGGCGCTGGGAGGTTGGCCAGATCACCTTGCTCGGTTCAGGGCTCAGTGTCTATTTCTGATGTATTCGGATTTCAGGTTCAGGGCTTTGGGATTAACATGGGGAGCCCTTAGAAATTAGAATAGGCTGTCGAGGGGATGTTTCTACGGTTGTAAGTTATAAGTTATAAGCATATTGGGATGATAAGCGGGCAGTATTGCAAAGTCTCGGACCTGAACATGAAGCTATGGCTTCTGCTGTTGATAGCCTAAGGCAGCGGACACTGAGCGGTTTAGGGTTTAGGGTTTAGGGTTTAGGGTGATTACAGACGCCTAGGTTTGGATGATCATGGGCAGCAGTTCGGGACCAATGCAGAGGCTCAAACAATTCCATCAACTTGTTGTCGGGTTCGTTTTATGCAATTCCTAAACACGAACACGAAGAACTTGGGGACTTATTAGAGGACTCGTTCCCCCGTCACCTGATAAGCAAGACAGAGTTGCCATCCGGCGGTTTCGGCTCTTGCGCGCTTGGAGGCGGCACACCTACCAGGGCCCGCAGGAGCACAGGGTTTAGGGTTTCGCAAACCCTCAAGGCTGGGCGCCCTAAACCCTAAACCTCCCCAACAAGGGCTCATGCACCCCCCCTCCGAGTGCGCAGGGATGAGCTGTCTTCACTTTTCGAGGACATGAGCCAGTACAAACCGATCCCTAAATCTCATATAATGTAGGAACCTGACTAAGCTGGGTTTTTCTTAGGGGTCCTGAAGTAAATCCTCATATGTTGCGGTGATAGGGCCAGGCTTTCTTTAACCAGTTCCCTACGCTACCCTGATCCTATTATAAACTCTAGTGTTTAGGGTTGAGGTCGCCATACCCTGAACACCACTAAACCCTAAACCTTAAACCCTATAGTAAGGACCATGAGAAGTACTCCATTAAAGGGGACTTGCGAGGTTCTGGTCAACCCAAAATCCTAAACATCCTTGAGGACCAAAGGGCTCTTCAAAGTAGCAGCCCTCTGTCCATATACTATGACAGTCCTACATGACATATGAACCTTCAACCTTTTAGGGTTCATTTCCTCCTTAAGGATTTTGGCATCCCGGACCTAAAGTGTTCGATGTGGGCTCATCATCCGGCGTGGCGCCCGTCCACGGGACGTTGATGCAAATGCTCATGCGCCTGCCACCTCAGCTGCCCCACACTCGGATCAGGGCTTTAGGGTTTGGATGTTTAAGACTTAGCTGGGTTTAAGACTCAGCATTGAATTTAGGCTTCAGGGTCTAGGGTTTCATAACCCTTTAAGAGTCGAGATTTACCTGGATGCTCTTTTCTAGTTTCCTGGATTGTAGCGAACATCAGAATAGGGGATGTTCTGGGGATCCCGCAACCCCCAAACCCAAATCTTGAAAAAAACCCAAGGGTCTTAAATGCTGAAGCCCCAAAACCTAATGCTGCTGAGGGACTAAGCCCGAACCTCTCTGAATTTCCGCAACCTAGCGCTAGATCCCATGTTGAAATGCCTACAGAGGCCAAGCCACTGTTGCTGGGGGTCGGAAGTGGCAGAAAGGCATCCGACTCCTGCGCTAAGTGCACTTTTCAATTCCCGGGAGAAACTGACACATGCAGAAGGTCTCCCTCTCATGGCTCTTAAGGTCTTCTGGTTGGCCTTTCCCTGTTATCTGAATTCTCGGACACAGAGAAATGCGAAAGACATCCTCCTGAGACGCGCTCAGCAAGTTGTGGTCAGAAGGGCTGGTGCAGACTGCACCTACGAGACGTGGTTGGACGTAGTGGGTCGTGGATTTCGTGCTTAGGGCTTCGGGGGTCCTCCGGATTCCTGATGTCATAAATTACTGGCTCCCTGTTGGGGCCATATTAAAACTGATCATTTTTAATCCTTGTTAGGCTTTTATTATAGCAAAAATATGTAAACTTGTATCCAACAAGGACCCAGATTGGATGTCCCAAGTTCGGGCTTTCCCGGATTAAGACCTCTGCTGTCATTGGCAGGGCCGTAAGTGGAATCTTGGTTCACGTAATATAGGGGCCTTGGGAGTTGTGCATAGGGCTTTGGGGCATACGCTGTTTATGACCCGGGCCCATGTGCCCAAGTAGTAGATACTTTGGCCTTAAAGTAGTTCCTATTTGGGTACTTTGGGGCCCAAGTATCTATTATTTCGGCACATGGGCCCTTAGGGTTATGTTATACGATGGTTGTACAGGGAGTATAATAAACTACAACCAGCTATCCCGACCTGTATAGCAAATCTACACCCAAATCCGGAGAACCTTTACCGACAGAACCAAGAATACCCCTTATTTACGGAATATGCTTTAAAGTATAGGGGCCTTAATGTTATGGTTTAAAATGTATTCCTTCCCCCCCCCGCCCCCACAGCACCCCAAAAGAGCCCTTAATTAAAGGACGCCCTGTAGCAACTCTTGACTTTACGGCACCTATACTTTGGACCCTTATAAAGCCCCCGGTGATCCCAATAGAACACCTCATCAAAGCACTTATCGAACCGTTAGACGGCACCCACCACTTTAGGGTTCCTTATTATGACTTCTTTATATAAGGCCTCAAAAA